GAGAAATAACACCCTCCAGTGGAGACAAACTGGAACTACACTTTGGTTATGATGAGCTCAAGAACATTTTAGCCTCCTTTTTCCATTAAAACTGGAAACATCCTAATCTTTGATTTTATTATCTTTGGATTTTTATTATGATGCAGGGGGAAGGAAATGAGTGCAAACTATGTTTATAAAGCTACAATAATTACTTAGCAGAAATATTTCCTTTAAATTATTTAAAAATAAAATCATTTGGCATTTCGTCCTTTTACAAAGGGAGAACTCACTCTAACAGTCCTTCTGTTATTTGGCTAAAAACCCAATTAAAACTATATTTATGTAAATATGTCGAACATGATAGTAGGTAAGTAAGTATATTTTATTTATATAACACTTATCATGGACATAGAATCACGAAGTGTTTCACGTAGATCAAAACAAAATGAAACATAATTATCTCAAAACAGAAATAGATTAACATCAGAAAAAAATAAGGTTCAACAAATGAAATATGATTACAAATTTGAGTTAAAAATAAGAAAAGAAAATATTTATGTGAATGCAGCTTTAAATAAAAATGACTTTAGCTGTTTGTTGTTTTTAAGTGTCCAGACTGTCAATCCGATGTAAGGATAAAGGAAGTGGACTTCAAGAGACATTGATTGGTCTAAAACAACACCCAAATTCCTCAAGTTTGTCCTGACGGCAGAAGATAAATGATCAAGTTTTTGACTAATCAGGGGAACCGTGCTCTCAGGGGCAATGATCAGACATACAGTCTTTTCAGAGTTTAACTGAAGGAAGTTTTCTTCTAGCCAGCTGGTGATAGCTGACTCTAGTAATTCAAACATTTTATAGGACTCCTTAAAAGAGCAGTACAGCTGAAATGATGGCTGTGTGGTGTTGAGATGCTAAACCTACGTAGCTCTATAAACTCAGATTTTATTGTGATGGGGAAATGATGCCCTTTAACAGTGGATCTGCTGCTTTGTTTGAGATAATTGTGCTGTTGAGTAACCCAATTTAAATCCTTTGCTCAGCAAAGCCTTTTAAACCTAACTTAGTTTAGTATCTTAATAAAAAAAAAGTAAGAACAGAACAGAAATACTACACCAAAAACAGGCATGAGCTTCATTTAGGCCCTGCCAACTAACTAATGTCACAGCTAAATACTTACAGTAATTTTTCTTTTGATGAGCCAGTAAAATGTTGTATATTGTGCTAATATTGTGTCACTTGCAGCTCATAGGAAGACATAAACACACTGAGCTGCTGGCTAAAGTGCCTCCGGTGATTCAGTGAATGTAAAAGCTTCTGTGAAGGCACACTGTACTTGCTAGCATTACCTGTAATTATGCATTAGCCTGCTGACCTCCATCACATAGACAGACCGACGGATTCACTGAACCTCTGATTTATGACATGAACTGGGAACATCATTATTTTCTCATCTTGCCCCTGTGATGCTCAACACTTGTCAGGGTTTAATTTGTGCAGTGCAGTGGACGTGTGTGTGGGCAGTTTAACACATCTTTGTGTGTGCGTGTCAGTGTGTAGGTGTGTCAGTGTGTGAGTTTGTCAGCGGTAGCGCCTACAGGATGTGAACTCACTCGGCCACATTCGGCCTGTTTGGATGAATTGCAGCAGGCTGTGGCGCTGTAAACCACGCCACTGCTGTGCGCGACCAGGAACACTGACTCAGATAAGTGGCTGCTCTCACACTTTAGATTGTATGGAAGGTCAGAAAAGTGTAAGACATGGAAATCCAACATGGTGAAATGAAAATGTGTGCAGTTTAATATTCTACGTTCAGCTCCCAGACAAGATTTCATGCTTGCTGCGGGGGAGAACTCTCACTATTGACTGATTGGTGAGTCACTCCACTTTGATACTGACAGCATCTGTTAGGTTGAATTTAATGCAGAATGGGTCTCTGCTGTGTGAATTATGAGTTTTCATAACCTTGATGAAGCATTACTGACTGTTCAAAGTCGGCCCAATCGAGTTTTAACCCCATCAATTTCATTGTTAAAATAATAATAAATAAATATTCAATACTAGTTCATTTTCATTCATTGCTGCTTAATATTTAGAGTGCCCCAGTAACACATAATCAATGCAATTAAACAATTATTTCAGATGCAGTGACCCGAACACACAACTCCCTTCTGTTCTGCGCAGACCTGAACTACGCACCTGCTTGTGCGTAATCAAATGTCACAAGGAAGAGGCTATATCTGCTGCCACACGATAGACCGCATTAACAAGCACCACTTCAGCAAAAGTTTCAAGGTCAATGATCAAGGAACATTTCTCTATATGAGAAGTCAGAAAGACTCTGAAATAAGGGTTTCCAGAGCTGGAAAGCACTCGCTTCAGCAGGAGGAAATCTCCCCTCATGCACACTTGTGCACCAGTAGTTCTCCTGCACAGGTCTGTCACGCACACTCTAGTTTCATTGTGCTGTGCCCAATAGTGAGATGCATTGAGAATGATGTCCAAGTGTGAGACAATGCTTTCATGGGAATCTTTTATGATTGATTTTGTTATTTCTTTGACTTTGTGTGTAACATTTAAAAATGTCTGTGCACTTGTAAGAGTCAGGGGTGTGAACTGCAATCCGTCAAAATGACCAGCAGCCTTCAGATTTTCTGTCATCATTACGGGTTTTCTCAGTCGTTTTGGTGCTTTTCTCACAACAGTATTAAAGTTTGCACCACTGCTAAGAAGTTTCTCAAAACAATTAGTGCAAACTGCTAAACATGGTTGTAAGGTTATGAAGTTCAGATAACCTGCAAAAGAGGGTGACTTTCTCAAAATGGAAAGTCAGTTGAATTGGAAAGGGTAGATGCCTTCTCCAAGTCAGGGACAAGGTCCTTCCCCAAGTGGAGGAGCTTAAGTATCTTGGGGTTTTGTTTACAGTGAGGGAAAGATGGAATGTGAGGTCAATAGGCAGATTGGTGCTGTGTCTGCGGGCTTTGTACTGGTCTGTCATGATTAAGAGAGAGCTGAGCCATAAGGCAAAGCTCTCGATTTACCGGTCGACCTACGTTCCTACCCTCACCCATGGTCACGAGCTTTGGGTTGTGACCGAAAGAACGAAATCACGGATACAAGCGGGCGAAATGAGTTTTCTCTGCAGGGTGTCTGGGCTCTTAGAGATAGGGTGGGAAGCTTAATCATCCAGGATGGGCTCGGAGTAGACCCGCTGCTCCTCCACATCAAGCGGAGTCAGTTGAGGTGGCTCGGGCATCTGGTAAGGATGCCTGCTGGACACCTCCCTGGTGATGTTTTCCTGGACATGTTCAACCGGGAAAGGACCAAAAGGAAGACCCAGGACAGGCTGGAGAGACTATGTCTCTAAGCTGGCCAGGGTACGTATTGAGCCCTCCCTTGAAGAGCTGGCCCAAGTGGCTGGGAGAGAGAAGTCTGGCACTCTCTGTTTAGGCTGCTGCCCCCGCGACCCAAACCCGGATAAGCGGCCGAAGATGGATGGATGGATGGATGGATGGATGGATGGATGGATGGATGGTCAAAAGCAAGTCTAATAACCAGAATGGATCATTTGTGCTTCAAAAGCAAATGTTTATGTCAATGAAAGGGTCAGTGTTGTCAAAATGAAAAGTTATGACACCAACATCTTTAAACAAACAAATGAACTGGTTTGGTCATGTTTTCATTGGGACAGATTACTCCAGAAGTGCTTCTCAGTGTAAAGTCAAGACAGTGGCAGGTAATATAGAACAAATATATTTGGTTACAACATTCTTCCAGTATGGGTTCAGACCTTAACGATCAAGAGGGGACATAAGAAATGAGCAGCTCTGAAAGATATGAAGGGGCTAAACCATGTAGAGCAGGGGTATTCGATTCTGGTCCTGTAGAGCCAATATCCAGCATGTTTTAGTGGTTTCTCTGTTCCAACACACTTGATTAAGTGGTTGAATCACCTGTGCAGCAGCTCATCAGACTCTGCAGAAACCTGTTAATCACCTGCTGATAAATCAGGTGTGCTGAAACAGAGTTAAAACTAAAACCTGCTGGATACCGGCCATCCAGGCCCAGAATTGAGTACCCCTGGTGTAGGGCCTTGTAGACAAGCACTAGAACCTTGGAACGAACCCAACAGATCAATAACCAATGCAGGTCAGCTAGTATTGGGGTGATGCCTGTGTCTGTCTGATTTGATCAAAAAGCAGGCAGCAGCATTCTGGACCATCTGAAGATTGTTAATGGCAGATTTGTTGGCACCAAGCAAGATTGAGTTTGTATAATCTACCCCAAAAGTTATAAAAGCATGTATAACATATTGCAAATGAGGTTAAAATATGTTTTAATTGGAACAACCGACAGAGTTGGAAGAAATATGACTTCACCGTGGCATTAATTTGAGGAACCATGGATAGTTGGAGTCAAGTTTGACCCCCAGACTCACATCACAGGATTTCGGTTGAGGGAAAGAGGTGTGAGATCAGCAGCTCAGGGTGATTTTTTTTTGGTGTGTATAAAATTGCATCTGTCTTATCATCATTTAACAACAGCAAGTTTGATGCCAAACAGTTTTTGATTTCACAGAAATAGTCCAGAAACAGGTTAATGAAACTTTGTTAGTGTAATGCAAGATAGATCTGTTAATCGTCTGCACAGATGCAGTAACTAACCTTGTACCTGCCAAAAAAATAAATAAAATCAGGGACAGAATGTAGATTGTAAATAGTAGAAAACCCAGGATAGATCCCTGTGGCATACCCCAGAGAAGCGGTGCAGAGGGAGAAGAATAGCTGTCTAGACAAACTCTGTTCCAATCTGACAAGTAGCACCAGAACCGCACAGACGTTTCTTTACCTCCAACCTACGTTTCAAATAGTTCAATGTAATATTCATCAAAAGAATAAACAGAGAAAACTTATGTGAAAATTATTAAGAGTTCTAAAGCAAAAACAGAATCAGAAATCATTAGATCTATATATTTAACACAGATCTTTTCTTGTGCTTTCCCTTGTTGACTATTGCAGGTTAAGCCCCTCCATTTCAGTAGACCCACACTGATCAGAGAAATGTTCTAAACGCAAAACATCTGTGACCATGAAAGGGTTGGGAGCCAGTCGAAGTCGTCACCTGTCTGACTCGTGTGAACCCACGGGGTGCGCTCAGAAGCCTTTGTGTCCTTTGACATCTGACCCCCACAGCTCTTTTTTGTTGAGCCCTACAATAAATCACTATGGTACACTGGACCCACATCTCCATCAATGCACCCCAACCAGCCCCACTTCCCTGACCCCTGACTGCATGCTTCCTTTCAGCCAGATTCCCAACAGCAGCACCTTCCCTCGCCTGCATAACACAGCCCAGGCTGAACAGCTCGACTGCTCCCAGACCTGTATGGCTGGTGGTGGATTTGGGCAGGGTAGCAGGGCAGGCACTCTGTCCACCTCCTTGTCTATGGGAATGGGTTTGGGTCTGGGTTTGACTGGTGCTCCAATGATCACAAGTGGATCAGCCACCATCTCCACTGCAGCGGCAGCCAAGATGAACCGGTTACCCACCAGTCTTTTGGATCAGCTGGAGAGACACCTGCCTCTGCAGCGTGATGGCTTCAGTACACTGCAGTTCCACAGAGGACGTGTGTCTAAGCAACGCAGTGAGAGTCCAGGGCGGATACGTCACCTCATGCATTCTGTGCAGAAGCTGTTTGCTAAGTCCCAGTCCTTAGAAAACTCTGCAGTGAAAGGCAGCATAAACTCCTCAGGAGGTGGTGAAGAACGGCCGAGCCGCCGAAGTAAGAGTAAAGACAGGGCTAAAACTGAGGGTCAAAAACAGAAACCTAGACCTAACACATTAAGTCTCTGGAGCTCAGATGATGCCCTGGATACTGACACTACCAAAGCTGGTACCATCGCTGTAGGGTACCGTAACCCACTGAGCATGATGACTCTTGGTAGGGCAGTGTCGGATAGCCAGACTGCTCTCAGACGTATCCCACAGGGCTACAACACCATTTCTGCACATTCTCTCAAGACCTCAAAAAGCAGCAGTGACCTCAAGTTCCTGGCATGCCCAGCGATGCAGGTAGTATCAAAGGAAGAAGAATCAAGAACAAGGATAAGCAACGATGACATGGTAGTGAAGAGGGGTTCGTGGTCTACTCTCACCCTCAGCCAGGCCAGGCAAGTGTTGCAGAAGGGCTCAGCTACAGTCAACAGGACTCTTCTAAAGACAAAGTCATGCCATCAGGACCTGTCACAGCAGTTCCTTCAGGTAGGAAGCTCAACGAGTCGTCATATTATTTTAAAAATAATTTTACAGGCCATTTTTAATGGTAAAAATATGGTTTTGGAGATCACTCTAATGGCCCAAATAAAATGAAATTGTTAAACAAAGTAGTCTGAAAACAGAACACACATGGCTTAGTCTCATGGGAGCATGGGTGGGTTTTTTTCCTTCTTTTTATCAAATCCAGGTCCCTGTGGACGACTGGGCAGGAACCCTGGGTCAGGGACGCACCAAAGGAACTGAGATCCCTTGTAGAAGGATGCGCAGCGGAAGCTATGTGAAAGCTATGGGAGATCCAGAAGACAGCGAGGAATCAGAGGGAAGCCCCAAACCTTCCCCCAAATCTGCAGCCCGTCGCCAGAGCTACCTGAAGGCCACCCACCAATCCCTGAGCGAGCAGCAGCCTCCACCTCCTCCATGCAAGTGAGTCCCACAGCACGAAGATTCACATCCATTAGAATGAAATCACATTTCATCTTTTATCATTTCAGCATTACCAGATATTGAGAAGGCCTTTTTCTTGTGTTCTCAAAGGTAGTCAGCAGGGGGCAGTGTCCCATCACATGTTCATCCTAATGTGCAGGAGCTGTTAGTAAAAACAAGCCTATAGCCTTTTGCTTTCATCAGTGCACCCCAGGGCAGCTGTGGCTACATTATAGCTCATCATCAACAGCGTGTGAATGTGTGTTTGTGTGGGTGAATGACTGATTGTTTTGTGAAGCGCCTTGGGAGGTTGTAGAACCCTAGAAGGAGCTATGAATAATACAGGCTAACCACTTATAGAGGGTGTGCATTGACTTGGATATGCAGATTAGTCAGAGGGAACTGGACCAGACCATGTTGTGTCTTTATGTAATGAAAAAGGCAACAGGAGGTGAAACTTTGTCGCGTGTTTTACCCCCACACCCACACAAACAGGCCTCGCTGCTACGCTCTCAAGAGGGAGGATTTTCTGTGGCCTCCTCTGCAGAGTGCATGCTCTATGCAGCATCTGAGGTCAGTGTAATCCAAAAACAAGAAACCTGGCCTTCCACCCACCCTCACTCTTCCCTAATAATAATATGCACTACCTGTTAGACCCTTCTAGCCCCCAGTACCACCCCCCTCCTTGCAGGTACCCTGAGCCACTTGTTCGTATTTACTCCTGACCTGCTTTGCCAAGCCCTGATGTCATAACATTCACATTGTTCCCCACAAATCACTCTAGTACCTTCAGGTATCCATGTTCACACACATCTTCTAGCACCATGTCATGTGCCCAAAGCCAGAGCAGAGGAAACGGACCAATTGATTCCAAGACCAATTTCAAAAACATTTATCAACTCTTGCTTGTGACTGATTTTTCCTCTGTGCTGCCTTAAACCCAAACACATGTCAGTTTGTCTCAGAGGGGTTTGACTTTTAAACACCAAGTTGATTTAGATTGGGATTTAAAGTATTTCCTTCAATGTCATCAGTTATACACAACCACAACAAGAGGCAAATTGTTAAATTCTCTTCCCCAGCTCTCTGCCATCCTTGAAAGAGCTGTCCACTAACCGGAGTCTTGATAACCTGGACTGCCTAGTGAGCCCTCTGGAAGCCCCTCCGCTCCACAGGAATATCGATTTCAGCCAATGCTCTGGTTCACTGGGCAGAGGTCTGGGCGCTCAGGTACAACTATGAATACACGTACTGTTGTCTGTGACTTTCCTTGGCTTAGCAGTGACCATTTGCCTTAATGTTAATAATACAAGTGAACAAATGAAGGTAATGGGCCTCACTGGCGCAATTTTTTATCTGCTGTTAGAGAATTGTGTGTAGATGTAAAATATTCCAGCTGTCACTACTTAGTCTCACAATCAAAGAAAATCTATTGAAGCGTCTCATGCAAACAAATCAGAGTTATTTATAACTTCCTCTGCACCAAGAACAAAATAACATCTTTGTTCTGATCTGGCTTTTTCAAGCAATGCAGTTTCTACATTAATAACTGAAATCTCAGCTGTTATATGTTTTGTGAACAAATCACATCTAGATCTTGATTTAGGATAACAACGTTTTGACATGTAAAACTAAAATATTAGTAATGATATTCTATTTTATCTCACAAAATTTAAGCTTTTCGGGATATTTAAACATTTCATGGAACCAAACTAACAATATATACATTATATGATTACAACTGGTGTGAATAATGTTAAACTACTGTCTTGGACTGGAAAGGTTTAGAAAATCTTAATTTTTCCTAATTTCCTCTGCTGTGAAGCTTATGAAGTTAAATCGATCTGCGGCTCAGTATTGTTTTCCTTTTCTATAGTCAAACATCTTTGTTTCTTGTCTACTTGTGAGAGCCTATCTGTAAACTGCATGTTTATCAATCTGCCCTTTGCCCTCAGCATGTGGGTCTGCACACGTTCCTCCAGGTGTGTGCACAGGGCTGTGGGCATGCGGTGCCATACTCTGAGGTGGAATCACAGGCAGTGGAGGCTCTGGATCTGCCTGCACCAACGTGCTTCCGCTCTCGCAGCCACAGTTACCTGCGGGCAATCCAAGCCGGCTGTTCCCAGGATGAAGACACAGCTTCTGTGGATTCGGAGACACCCCCACCCACCAGCGCAGGCTACAGCTCCAACACTAGTGAGTACCAGTAATAGGAAAATTCCCTGAAATGAACATTTTTAAATTACTTAATCCTTTCTTCTGAACAGACAGTTGTTGATCCTGCATCAGGAAAATAAACTCAATAGATGTTAAAACGTTAGGATTAGAAAATCCTCACACTGTGATGTCACACTGTGAATTTGCCTTCATGGCCTCACTCATCTTGGCTCGCGCATGCCCACAGGAAGGCTTATTTTTTAAATTATTGCAGCAAAGAGAGAGAGAGCTGAGAGTATGTTGGTAATAGTGACATTTCAACATGGCTGAACGCATTCTGTAAGCCAATCAGAAACGAGGTGTGTGCATATCATTAATAATAATGAGCATACTGCTGTATTCAGTCCACCACTGTACCAGCAAACTTCTGCAACTCAGAAAAGGCCCATCGCAGCTTTTTTTTAAATTACTCATAAGACATTGATTTACACTAGAGAACACTGCAAATGTATTGCATGAACTAATAAACCATTAAGAATGTTTCATAAAAGAGATCAGTCTCACCTAATTAAGGATTACTTTTATTTGATTAAGGACGTTTTATTTACAAGTTGCGTGAACTGTTTCATAAACAAAACACAAATATTCTGCCTGACTCAGAAAAAAAGGTCACTCTAATATTTGGTTGAACCCCCTTTAGCTTTGATTACAACATACACTGTGGCATTGTTTCAATAAGCTTCTGGAATGTCAAAAGATTTATTTCCATCCAGTGATGCATTAATGTTTCACCAAGATGTTGCATTGATGATGGTAGAGTCTGATCGCTACACAAAGCCTTCTCCAGCACATCCCAAAGATTCTCAATGGGGTTAAGATCTGGACTCTGTGGTGGCCAATCCATGTGTAAAGACAATGTCTCATGCTCCCTGAACCACTTTTTCTCTGTTTGAGCCCAATGAATCCTGGAATTGTCATCTTGGAATATGCCTGTGCCATCAGGGAAGATGGAATAACCTGGTCATTCAGTATATTCAGGTAGTCAGTGGACCTCATTCTTGGAGCACATCCTGTTGCTGAACTTAGACCTGACCAACTGCAGCAAGCCAAGATCATAACACTGTCCCCACAGGCTTGTACAGTAGACAGTAGGCATGACTGATCACTTCATCTTCCTCTCTTATTACCCTGATTCACCATCACTCTGGAACAGGGTCCATCTGGACTCATCAGCAGTTCGCAATTTTAGTCGTTTCTGCAATCTGCTTAGATTTTTTTCTCTGCTTAATGCATGCCAATGATCTGACCCTTCTCAAACAGACTAACATCTTTTCCACGACCACCAGATGTGTCTTTCCACATGGTTGTTTAAGAAATAAGAAGCAACTCGTTGCACCAGTTGGGGTTAAATAACTTGTTGCTATGTAATAATTATCCAATGGGAGGTGAGGCACGTACTTATTTGCTTAGTTAAATCCAGATGGCAACATTCATGGGCCGGGCAGTGTATTTAGATCTAGATAATTTTAAAGGCCATCTGGCTCCCTTCAACAATCTGATCTATTGTCTTATTTTGGTGCCTTGCGCCATTTTGTTATAATGTGTAAAAAAAAAAAAGAAAAGACAGAGGTGAAATGACTCAAACCAGGCTTAGGGCCATTCTACGTGCAACAATAGACCACAACAAACTGGAAATGTGGTTGTTTTTTTAATGTCTAGACTGGAGTCGATTCACGCGGTGTCACGGCCGAAATGGAACGCACCTTCTATTAGAGAGCCTTGCGTCGATGCTTCGTCCAATCATCTTCCTCCTTGATTACCTCGCGCACCAAAACGATCCAATCGCCTGCGCGCGTGTGTCATCGGAGAAAACGTGGACTCCAATCGTTGTACTTAAGGGCGTGCACCACAAATCTTTTCTTCACAGCGTCGTTTTGTGTCCAACAACAAGACGCTATTGCCCGGCTACAACGTGTGTGCCTCTGATGAATGAAGGAAAATAGGGATTTTCGAGCCACTTGCCGCACAGTAAGCCTTTCTATACGTCTTCCATTGTTTTACAACTGGTCATTATTACCCGCCTCTGCTTGTACCCGGCGAACTAGCATCTGCAAGCTAACGTGAGAGCTAGCGATAATGCTGTGGTAAACTAGCTTGCTAATGTAGAAGAAGACATGGGTTAGAAGATACACGCTGAGCGTTTGGTGTACTGGGGAGCCTGAGCAGAAGCAGTGTAGCTGGTGAGAGCGGCAGTAATGAGGCAAAAAGATCTCTCTTTGTTGCCCCGCTCCACATAATGCCTCGGGCCATACGCTGTTAAATGCCCTGTGTGGTAGCACGCCGCCGCGTAGCAGAAGCTAATGGGAGCTGATGTGTCAACTGTCTGAGACACAATGCGTGGATAGCTTTGCCAATAAGCCGGTCCGTTACAGCATATTTCTGGTTCCTTCCTGACGAAGTAGTCATAAGAATGATCTTTTTTTCTATAGTAATTGTAGCAAATCCCTAAATGTAACGGGAAATAGCATTAGATTATCTCTAGAAAATGTTTCAAACTGGTTTGATTGAACAATCATATTATCCCTCCAGCCTTAGCGTTTTCATTTAGTAAAATATTAACTGTTCTCTATCAGAGCGTGGGCACGTGACTGTGCATTTCTAAAAGCTGCAAATAACATATAGCTACAATATCAGTTCTAGTCTAAAAAAAAGGCATACCTGACTGTCTATAAAGCAGGGGTTCTGACTTGAACATGGAATCTGATTTCACATATCTGAAAATCTTTCATGTTCATCTTGTTTCATCTTTAAAAGATGAAAATCCACAATCTGAAATATGTGACTGAGACAGAGATTTGTTTATAGTGGACTTCTTATATGTTGTTCTGTGAGGAACCATGTGCGGCTGCGGTTGTGTGACTGGGAAACACATTGTAAAGAGCTTATGAAATTTTTATTTAGGGTATTTTGCAGATACAATATGCAACATGTCAGTCAAGAGAGTTCCATGCCATTTGTTTAATCTTGTATTGGATGAACAAACTGAACATGTTTGATTAAAGAAGACTTTGGTTAAGATAAAGAACTAATCAATTTGTGACATTAGGTGGAGGAAGTCTGAATCTGGAAATTGTTTATTATAAATAAAACTGTTGGACCCCTTGGAAGTATAATTGACTTCTCAAATTATGAAGAATAGATGACATTAAACTCACTCCATTTGTTATGGCTCAGTATAAAACTTAGGTCCACAGATAACACATGCTGATTTTTTTCAGTAGCCACATTATCTCAGGATCTGATGACACTAGATAATTTATCTGCTCATTCTATTTTAAGCTTTAGCAGTTAATGCACTTAATGCAGTATATTTATAAAAAAAAACGTAACCCTAGGGGTTTGCATTTCCATAAACATTAGCAGTCCCTTTCTAGTCATTGACATTGCTAGTATTATAAAATTAAATAGTTGTGTTAGGGCTAGGCAAGGCAGCTTTATTGATATAGCACATTTCGTATACGGAGGCAATTGTGCTTAGGCGATATCTCGATTAAAAAAAATATAGCTATATAATTTCAAACAAGGTGACACGGTGACGTTTCTATTAGGGATGCAACAATACCACTTATTTCCAAACTGATAGGATACCAATTAGGGCTGGGCAATAAATCAAAAATTTATTGTTATCAAAATTTCTGACGCTTATCGAGATAATTTTTCTCATGTCAATAAATTTGATAATAAAAGATGAAAAGATGTGTGTAAGTTGGCAACATTCATGTTCCTGAAGCTGTACCACTTTGAGTCACGTAAAAATGTGACTCAGAGTGATACATGTGACAGCCCCATCTAGTGGATAACTTTTGTTTCTGCGCACACCTGTAGTTATCGTCCATTTATCGTTATCGAGGTGAAAACCTCAATATATTGTGATAATTATTTTAGGCCATATCGCCTAGCCCTTATACCAATACTTGAATCTGAGTACTCGCTGATGCCGATGATGTGGACTAATCTGTTTTAAATCCTTTTAAATTGTTGTTTTAGCAGATCTGAATCACTGGTTGTACTTTCTTGGTGTTAAATGTTTTTAAATTGTTTTTAGTCCTCTATGGTTTTGACATTTATTATTTATTGTTTTGTGCACTGTTGATGGCGGACCATCTGTAATTTAATTGCCACGAGCAATTACAATAAAGTCTATTCTACTTCTACCACACAAAACAATGCAATGAATTGGAATACAGGTTTTATTTTCTTCTCTGCTTTCAACCAGAAGACTGTGAGGTAGATACAAAAAATAATATATACTAATAGAAATTATCACAAAACTAAAATATTACCAGAAATTACAAGTTACATTAAAGCTACTTTCAGGCAACTGCATTGGTATCGGTTCCTGGTGTAGTTTAACTTTTAATAATACTGAAGCCAGTATCGGTATCTATGCATCCCTACTTTTATGTCAAAATAAATATACAGCCAGTATATTTCTAGAGCTTGCAGGTAATGCTACTGCTAGCTTGCGCTGCCTCAAAGCGATCATTACATGCATTCTCCACTGTCACTGATGAGAAATGTTAGCGGAACGATCGGTGCGCATAGCAGGATGCAATATCAAGTGTCAGTCTCCAAAAGAAAGACTGCTTATGCTGCTTATGTTTAATAATAGAGACAACACAGACATCTCCGCAGTCTTTTCCCTGCCTACATGCTCGGAGATGCGCTCATGACACCTCAGTCTGCCTATGTGCTCAATCACATCTACATTCCTAAGGCTGTGTGGAACGAACGCTGCCGGGCTGGGGCGGGTGGAGTGGAGCCAATGCTAGTGCGTAAGTGGCATTAGGCTGCTGCCCCTGCAACCTGACCCCCGAAGGCATGGATGAAAATGAATGGACTTGGTGGTTTTCCACTGGCCAGGACTTGATTGGGATTATAGGAGGAGGAAAGTCCTGCAGACTGAAAGATTAATATCTTAAACTGGCTCAGACCTGACGTCTGATTTGCATGTGTAAGTAGGGCACACAGTTCTGATC